TGGCGATGCGCTCCACCGGCAGCCCCCAGCACCGAGCCGACTGCTCCTTTGTGTTTGCTGCAGGTGGGGCAACACGCCCTTGGACGAGGCGATCCATTTTGGCCACCACGACGTGGTCACCATCCTTCGTGATTACCACAACCAGTACAGCCCTCAGGACAGCCCTGCCAACCAGCAGAACGCAGAGAAGAACCTGGACGGCATGCTCTGATGGAAGGACGGCGAGCCGGACGGTGGTGAGCTCTGGAAGAGAAATGACCCTGGAGGGTGTTCTTGGAGAGGGAGAGAGAAATCACTTTGTGCTCGAGAAAAACATCTTAAATCGAGATCAGAGAGGTCTGAAAGAAAACCTGATAAACAACCGCAGTAGACAACGGTTAACAAACCCAACAATAAACTGTACAGTGTAGAAACAAAGATAGATAAAATAATGTCTTAACAGTCTCCTTAAACACAAGGCAGTGTAAAACCTCCTCTTCATGTTGTTACTATGTGTTGTTTTTGTACTATAATACAGTATGTACTATACCTTGAGTGGGGAAGTATTTGTAGAAAGTCACCAGTTGAATGCTGGGCAAATTCAGCTGAGGCTGGAAACAACACCAACCTCCACCTTAAAGGTTGTCTTTATTCTGAAGAGCTGACACAGGAAGCAGCAGGTGTCACAGACGGTTTTGTGCTCCACTTAAACTTCATGGTCACAGCAGGGTGGAATATATCTTCCCCAAACACTTTGTGTGTGTGGGTGTGTGATTTATTAACCTATTTAAGATCAACTGTACAGTGTGTAGTGTGTGTGTGTGTATATTGCCGAGATGTGTAAATACGTACAGATGTGTGGTTTTAGTTGAAACAAGTTGTGGTCTGGTCGGTTCAGTTTGGATCACGAGCTTTGTGACGTTTTCACCACAACTTTGGAAACTCTCAGTATTTGAATTTTAAATCTTTTGCTGTACTTTTTTTATTTCTGTTACCTTCTCTAATTGTGGATATGAGTTAAAAACTTTTTCTTTTTAATGAACCCAAAACTGTACTTTTATTTTGAGCTCTTCTGTGTTGTTTAGTTGTTTTTTTGTTTGTTTGTTTTGTTTTGTAACATAAGGAAATAATGTAAACCAGCCAGTTGAAAGATTCTGCATATCAGACACTACGCAGCTTCCTTCTGCAGAAACACTGAGATACTGTAAAGATCCACCAAGAACATAAGTTTGGTTTTGATTTTGGCTTTCTCTCTCTCTCTTCTTTTTTGCTTGAGGTTCAAGACACTCAAGCTCACAGATGCTAAACAGCTCCTGAAATGTGTCCAAGGACTCACTCGGCAGTACAATCAACTTTCAGTGTTTATTTTTTAACAGAATACTTTTCTGCTTATTCCCAAATTCAGCGAGTAGATTTTCTTGTTTAAAAACTGAGTGAAATCAGTTACTGACCATTAAAGTCTATGAACGTGTCTCTGTAGCTGAGCATCTGTGCTGCTGGGCAATAAAATATTACTGCCATTTGAATTTAATTTCCTTGCATTGCTATCAAACTCAAAAGGTGTTTTTCTGAACTCTCGGATGAAGTCTTTTAGTACAGGAGCTGTGTTGACGCTGTACAGTATCACATGAATGATATGGTTTGTATGAACACTTGTTCCTACAGAGGACTCAGGAGCGTTCAGTCTGTCTCCGTAGCAGATTGTGAACAGTACAAAGAAAACCAACAGAGCTTTACAGTGCAGACGAATTGTTCATTTTTTATCTGAAATGTGCAAAAGAATCTGTCATACTTGAAAAGTTGTGCAGCTGTTTAGTTATTTGTGTTTGAAGGTTAGATGTTGTTTGTGTACAGACAAAGGGAACCAGGCAATCAACGTGTCAGCAACAATTTCACAGTGCAGTTTCTTCAAGTTTAGAGCCGTGGGTCGGATCAGCTCATTTATTCAGATTGTTAATTTAAGTAAAACAGTTATTGACAGAAGCACAAAACTGTAAGGTTTTTGACACAACTGGCAATAGAAGAGTAATGATTGTCTCAGATATAATCAGCGACGTTGCTTCGATGTGACCTGATCTCAACCTGCAGCCCCGCCCCCTCCGCTGTCATCAGTGAAATGAAGTGCCCTGTGTGTGTTGGTGCCGCTGCAACTGAAGTATTTGTAACGTGTTTGGTGTCGTTCTGTTTTTTCTTCATATATGTTTATGCTGCTACAGCTCACATCAGTCGGTTACTGCGTGTCGCAGGAAGTCCAGATATTTATTCACAGAACAAACATTTAATAAAAGGTAGGGGGAAAAACAACTGGATGTCTGTCATTTTTTGGGGGGAAATTGTAACCGTTTAAAGGGACACATGCTTTTGTCCTTTATATACAGTACTGTTGTGATGTTGTGTGTTTGTTACACAAATTCTAAACTTGAGGTGAACGTATGCTCCTGTAAGAGGAAAAGCCTGGGATTGACAAAAGTGGACTTTGACTCTGGGTTTGATGTAATGCTCAGACTTCAGATGTTGAAATGTATCTGCTGCATTCTAGCTCTTGACTCTTTGCTAGAAAACCTGCTAGAAGATGACAACAGTTACAGGATATTTAACTGGATAAAGGTAAATAATGTAACTAACCATCAAACATTTCACCTAACTCCCAGTTGTCAGCAGATTATATCATGTATCTCCCCTTTTTGATGGGTGCTGCCACCAGTTGTAAACATGAAAACAGAGGCCTTGGTTACAAGTTGGGCTGGGGCTGGGGTGGCCAGACTTTTGAAGTTTTAAATAAGTTGCTCTTTATTTTTTGTAAAACTTTGACACTTATGAGAGCAAAACTCAGACTCGTCTGCCGCTATAGATCAGCCTGACACATCTTTCTAGTTCTGTATGCTTTTAACCCTTGTTTTGTCAGGTTTTTTGTACTTTCCAGACACTGTGGTGTACAAAAGTCTTGGGAATCCATAAACAGCCTTCTGCTCTGGTCCTCAGCTCTAGGTCCAGCCTGCTCTGTCGCCAAACTCAAATTTTGCTGGGCCAGTATGTTGTAAAATGTTTTTCTTTACACCTAACCTAGTGTGTAACATGCATCTCTGCACATTACAGCACAAGACTCAGCAGTTTACAGTTTGTGTGTGGGATTGCAAAATTCACTAAGGATCCAACTCAGACCTCAAAACTTTCAAGTAAGTTACACTTTATTGTTAGTGTCACTGGCATGATTACATTGATGCAACAACAACCACTATATCAAATGTTAAGAAATTCAGAAGTCAACCTCGTAGCATAGCAGTGACCTTAGACTGCTGCTGTGCATTTTCTTCATAGGCCACTGTGTACGATTTGAGTATAACATAGTATTATATACATAAGAGAATCTGGAACAAGGCCAATGTAAATAAATTGTAAATATACTTTAT